ACCGGCGTTACATAAACAGTAAGATAAACTATGAGTTGTTTTTGTTTATAAATTAAAACCTAATTTATTTTCCTTACTTCAATTTGACTTTGTTTTTGAAGTTCTATACTTTGAGAAGCATTAGTGCTGGTTTGATAGTAGGGTTTTTAGTGATAAATCTACAGGCACGTGCTAACTTGTTGTTAGTTCACATAGACACCGTGTACCTATAATTTTACAATACATCCTCAGGCTTGATTAACGGTTTGTTTACAGGAGCAAATTTAAAATAGATTAAAAACATATTTTGTACAAACATTATGTTGAGTAACGACTTAGTGGTTACTGCGCCTGACTATGAATCTGAGGATTCATGGCTCACTTCCCGTTATCGCAAAAAAACGCGTCCCGTATTTTGTGAATGCGGGTGCGTTGTAAGAGCGACTGCCAAATCTCACTATTCGATTAGAGTAGTCAAGTTGGTGACGGTGAGTACTGTTAACAACTTACTTTCTCTTTAGTCTATCAGTAAGATATTAGGGACGGCGATGCACATTTAGACCTTGTGCACCTTTACTGGAGTTTCCAAACGTAACAAATAGACAATTTCTTCAAGTACGAGACTGGGTACTATATAACAGAGATAGTACTAGGATGCTTACTGATACTAATAATTAGACTAACGCATGACTAACAAGTTTCAACTTGATAACAAATGTATTTTCATTCACAAAAGAAAAAGAAGATAAGAGAGAGAGAGAGAAGTGGTCGTTTTCTGACAATTTGAAACTAATCAATTTTGTATGTATTCTCTGTGTAACGATAACAAGTTTCACAAAAACAAAAAGAAAACATATTTATGCATAATTAATGTAAATGTTTCTCTAAATTTAGCATTCGAATGATGTTGCATGTTTTTTAAAGTTGGTTTGTGGTTGTAAACGGTTCTCATGTTTTTTTAAAGTTGATTTGTGGTTGTAAACGGTTCTCATGTTTTTTAAAGTTGATTTGTGGTTGTAAACGGTTCTCATGTTTTTTAAAGTTGGTTTGTGGTTGTAAACGGTTCTTATTTTTGATTACTTTATAAACTTTATCATTCCTATTACAATATAGATTTGCATGTTTGTTCCTAATTTTGAAATGATACATTAGAGGAAAGGTAGCTAGTTAACAGTACCCGCCGCCAATTCTTGGGCTATTTTTGTCTGTACGAAGAGTGGGATTTCACCGTCACTCTAAGAGAGCACCCATGACCATTAGAATCCAAGAAGAACATTTAGAATCTTGTTGTAATACAAAAAAAGTCATATTAGTTAAAATTTTGTATCACTTTTATTTATAATAGCAGCCAGTATCGGTGTGCGTTAACTATATTAACACAGAAGGTTTTTCTGATTAGAAAATCAGGACATTAAATAACTGAATCTTCAAAGAGATTTGATGAAAACAAAGTTTGCAAAGGATGGACAATTATTTTGAGAAGAACATCAAATAAATAGCGTTGTAGGTGGGGTAGAAAACATTTCTTTTCGTAGAGCTCACATTGAATCACTACCGAATTAACAAGGTATTTGTAGAAACCGCTTAGATTTTTGGCAACAATACTATTTTTTTCTGATACTTAGGCCTACAATTCACAGTACAGATAACATGAAATGATTTATTATGGTGGCGCTGTTGAGTTTCGCCAATAGAATATTTCGTTCGTCAGTCTAAGTAATAAAAATGCTTTAGCCCAATTGTTAATAATTACAGAGGTTTGTGTCCCCCTCCTCGTGGCTAAGTGGTAAGTATGTTATAACGCTAAAAACCGGGTGGAGATACAATGGTGGGTGCAGCACAGATAGCCCATTTTGTAGCTTTGTGATTAAAGATAAACAAACAAACAAAAATTCGAAGATTTGTAAAAAAAAAATAGTTTTAAATCTAGAGCTGTTGAAACCCCCAAAGAACCCATCTAATCTTCATTGTCTTCTTTAGTCATAGTTGAATAGAATCACAATTTCATGTTAAATAATCTTTAGTTTTTGTTTTTTTTTTCACTTGATGACATCTGAGCAAATATTGTGGGAAATGTAAGTTTTACAAAATATATATATATTCTAGTTTTTCTGAAGTTTCTGGAATCTTCGAGAGTAGCTTGCAGTTCTAGTTCAGGTTTGTTTTAATCGATAAGAATGCGTTTTGCTGTTACATTGTTGCTGGGAGATAATGTACATTTTATGTTTATGTTTGAATATCTTCTTACAATGCTATTGAGTGAACTTCGCCCGTAAGTTGTTTGGTATTATTTCGTCAATACAAGCTACTTTACACTTGTCCTCCACCGCTGGGAATCGAGCTTCGGATTTTTGCGCTGTAAGACCGTAGACTTACAGCTGAGCTACACAATGGCTCAGCGATAAATGTGCAGGCTCATAACGCTAAAATCCGGGCTTCTATACTCCTCATGGGTACAACACAGATAGCCTATTTTGTATCTTTACGCTTAACAACAAACACACATAACTTGCCACTGACTAACCAGGGGACCGTAAATATTTTGTTTCTTATAGTACAATATCACTATTGTCGATAATTTCATAATTATTATGGGCTGCGTTTGGAGTTTTTAATACCTTATATAACAGTTCTTTTCGACATTATATATTGTATAATTGTTTGGTTGAAATTCAGTGACCTCATTTTAATTATGTATGTATATATTTTTAAATATATAAATATAAACCAT